ACTTAAAAAGCCATTTCATAGATACTACATTGAAGAAGTTATTGGTATTAAGAAAAGTGGTAGGAAAACTCTAAAACCTCGGATGTCGATAAATGCTGATGAAAGAGGTGGTCTAGAAAACAGGGGCCCCCCTAACAACAGCAGTCCAGTACAAGAGGATATGAAAACGCATCCTGTGAGCTGTACAGATTCACAATAACTGAGCAGGACCTGTCATCTCATTACTTAGTCAAACACACTGATCATATCTGTGCACGTGGGAAATGCGGACAGGTCCTTGTTAAGGGGAGGCAGCGTCAGGATCATGCTCAAAGGGGTGGAGAACCCCAAGATCTGACAAGGAACGGGTTAGGAAATACGGAGGAGAAAACGGACATGGAAGAGAATCCTGATGAGCAGTCAGAAGTAAGAGATATGTCTGTGGAAATGTTGGATGACTTTAGGGACAATCATTTCCAGATAAACAGTATCCCCAAAAAAGCAGTTATTTAAACATTCTGCCTGTCCTTTTCGACGTCCTAATTGTGGCCAGTGTTTTGAAACTGAAAATCTAGTGCTTGAACATACGTCTAGCTGCCTAGACCAGGACGTGTTTAAGAGTGCCATCATGAAGAAAACGAAAGAGATCACAGACGAAAGCATTTTTGTAATCTGCATGGAAAAGGATTTTATCAGAGGGGTGACTTAAGAGAACACTACACTGTTCATACTAAGGAAAAACAGTTCATTTGTCGGACACGTGGAAAGCAGTTTTTATGAGAACGTCGGTTGCGACTGCACAAAGGCATGGCCAGGAATGTTTGTTCCACCTGTGATCAAGGAAACCTCAGAAAACATGACCATGTATGGCACATGATTTCTCATTTAACTGCTGGTGAGACTAAATGCCAGGTCTGCTTTCGGATATTCCCAAATATGAACAGCTGGAACAGCGCAGTGATGTTATCTGCATACATGTGGAATATGTGGAGCAAAATTTAATTTGAGGAAAGCTATGAGATCACATTATAATGCCAAGCATTTTAAAAGAATATAAGTGATTTTCTACTGTGCTAATGTTTAGTTGATAGACAAAACACCAAAGCAAAGGATATGAGCTATTCAGAAATTGATTTTATGAGATGAATTGTTGGGAAAAAATTTCAAGGCCCTTTCAATACTTTTGTTTAGGATCTTAAGTATCTACATATTAGGTGTTATTAAATGTTTATAATTTTTATTATTTCTTAATAGAATTCTTTGATTTTAGTTTGTTTTAGCTATGATTAAAATTCCTTTTCGGGCACCTGGGTAGCTCACTCAGTTGAGCCTTTGCCTTCGGCTCCAGTCATGATCCCAGGATCCTGGGATCTGGCCCCACTGATGGACTCCCTGCCCAGTGGGGGGCCTGCTTCTCCCGTCCCTCTGCCACTCCCCCTGCCACTCCCCCTGCTTGTGCTCTTGTGCTCTCCCCCCCACCTCAAATAAATAAATGAATTCTTTAAAAAAATAAAATTACTTTTCAATGTAGACTACAAGTGGCTGTTACCCCTTCAATGTCTATTAAACTTTAGTTTTTTTATTAAAAAAAATTAAAACTATTATAATAAAAACTCAATAGAAGGATCAGAAGGTAAAGTTGAGGAGCTTTCCCAAAAAGTAAAGTAAAAAGTCACAAGATGAAAAATAAGAAAGAAAAAAATAAGAAATTAGAAGCCTAACAGCTGGATAAAACAAGTTCTCAAAAAGAGAACACACACACACACAAACAAATGGAGAGGATACCATCAACAAAATAATTCAATAAAATATCCCATAACCAGAATATGAGTTTCCAGATTTAAAGAGCCCATCACATACCTGACACAAATGGATGAAAATGGGACCATACCAAAACACATTTGTGTGATGTTTCAGAACATGCAGGACAAAGTAAAAATCCAGGGAGAAGAATAAAGGTTATTTACAAAAGATCAAATATAGGGGGCGCCTGGGTGGCTCAGTCCCGTTAAGTGTCTGACTCTTAATTTTGGCTCAGGTCAAGACCTCAGCGTCCTGAGATCAAGCCCTGCCTCAGGCTCCCCACTGGGCATGAAGCCTGCTTGAGATTCTCTCTCTCCCTCTCCCTCTGCCCCTCCCCCTCTAAAAAAAAAGAAAGAAAAAGAAAAGAATAACTTTAAATTACAACCACACACAGCAAACCAGAGGCAATGGAACAATGACTTCCTATATTTTGATGGAAAATTATTTCCACCTAGAAGTCTATATCAAGTTTGAAGGTAGAATAAGGGCATTTTCAGACAAAAATTTTTAAAAATTACTGTCTATGTTTCATTTTCCAGAAAACTATGAGAGGATGTGATACAACAAAATGAAGAGAGACCCAGGAGGAAGATATTGGCTACAGGGAAAAGATTTAGTGTAGAACAGAGACAGGGGGACTCCCGGGACAACAGCTGGGGGGAAAGGACAAGTAGTCCCTATCTGAGCAGACAGGAAGGCTTAGGGGGAGATTTCTCCAGGAAGAGCAAATTTGATAGAATAACCTCGAATCTGAGATATTAAATACAAGATTTAAGGAACTGGCAGTTTGGATTTAATTAGATACAAACACATAGAAAATAGAAGGAAAAATAAACAAAAACTGACCATGAGAAACAAAACAAAAATCCCACAGGAGAGGGAAAATAATTACGGTTTATTAATAGCTGAGTAGTGTTTACATAGTCATAATTGTGATGGGACCTGTGGTGTGGTGTAGAGCCAAGGAGACCCTAAATCCTCATCTTCCCTGGTCTAAGTCCATGGACAATGCCTACAACTGAGCAAGGTTATTATTAAGAGATGAGATGTCAAACACAAAAGGCCACATATTATATTATCCTGTTCATATGAAATACGTAGAATAGGCAAATCCAGAGAGGCCAGAAAGTACATCACAGTGGTTAGGGTGGGAAGTAATGAAAATGTTCTAAAACTGACTGTGGTCATGGCTGCGCAAGTCTGTAAATATACTAAAGCCACTGATTTGTACACTTTCAAGGGGTGAACTGTATGGCTTGTGAATTATATCTCAAGAATGCCCTTTAAACAAGAAATAAGGGAGGTAATTACCAAAACAAGCAACACATTTAAAGTGATTGTCTCTGGGGAGAAGCAATGGAAGAAAGGGGGGCAGGAAAGAGGGGGTGGGATCGGATCAGCTTTGATTAAAGAACACAAAGCCTAAGTATTAATGTAAGTCCACACGCCGTTATTGAAAGCTGGAGGTTCACCCCACACCCCATGCGTCAGGGTCAGGGCTGGAGAGGGTGGGGTACCACGACACCTAGGCAGGGGCGGGGCTGGAAACCCTGTAGTGCTAGACGCAGGTTCTAGAGAGTTCTTGCGCTGGGCACAGCCTACAGTCCGGAACGGTCACCCAGCCACCGCCCTACGGGCAGCCACCCAAGGCCTCAGGTGGGTGTGGGGGGCCGGGGATCCCGGGTCCTGGAGGGGTGGCGGGACTGGGGGGCAGGGAGGGGGCCCCAGGCAGGAGGGCAGTCCCGCAGTCCCCCCTCCCCCCCCCCGCCTCTCCCGGCCTGTCCTTCTCTGCAGCCCCCCCACCCTTTGGAGAGCGTCTACTTCCCCTCCCCGATTCCGAGCTGGCGCTGGCGCTGCCCTCAGACGGTCCCCCAGGGTCCTCTCGGTCACTACCTGAGCCAGCACCATCTCCCTTAGGCGCCCCCGCAGCCGCCCCTCTCCGCGCTCGTGTGGACGCGCCTCTGGCGCCCCCTACAGGCCTGAGCAGGCCCGGGCTTCCCCAGGCCGCAGTAACTTTGCGGGGCCCCTTCCTCCGTAGAAATAGAAAATACTGTCATTTAAGGCTGTGTTGGCCCATTCCCAACAACACGGAAGTTTCTCTTTGACTTTAAGTTGGACAGAAAAGGAAAAAAAGACTATTGGCATAAAGACGAATATATTAATATTCTGTATTAAGACACTCTCTTAGACCTAAAAGCTTCTTTCTTCTGATTTTAAAGTAAATTAAAACATTTTCACGGGCCCTAAAAGTAGCGTGGGCCCTGCGCACCGTGCCTAGTGGCGAAGCGGGTCCCTCAGCTGCCTCCTTTCCCTGGGGCTGCAGACAAGGCTGGCCCCCACATCACACTGGAGCCCTGGGTCCCACTCCCCTGGACAGTAGTCATAAGCTCCTGCAGTTTCCTCTTTCCAGTGGGCGGTGAGTGCTGGTCCTAAAACACGTGCACCGGCTTGCAGTGTCACTGCCCTGCTCACAAGCCTTCGGTGACTGCCAGGGCCCACCTCAGGAAGGTGCTCACAGAAATGGCAAACTCCATCAAAGACGTAGGAACAAAATGCTACTGGGGCCCACCGGAGCGGGAAACAGAGGCTCACTCTAGATGCCTCTACCCAGAAAACTCAATTATGTATGCTAAGAGGAGCGAGGAGAGAGAGGAATCCCTGTTCCCTTCTCATGCCACCCCCATCTCCTCTCCCTCCTCCCACCCACCTGGGCACCCACTACCTCAGAAAAGCAAGCAAGGCCAGAACACAAAGGGTAGCAGCTTATCAACATATGCCAACATCAACTTGTTAGTCCTCATAACAGTCCAATGGAGGATGTACTGTTAAAGATAGTGATTGTCTATATCTTATATAAATATGAATAAATTTCTACTTTACAGCTGAGGACACCAAGGAGCAGAGAGATTTAGTAATGTTCCCAAGAGAACACCTGTTCTAAAACTAAGAAGGGAGTCCTTAGCCTTGGAGCTTCTCCAGGTCCCACACTGGCAGGAGGAGAGGGATTTAAAGGCTATTTCCAGGGTGGTTTTGACCACCTGGGATTTCCACCTATCTGCTGACTTTAGAACCCAGCCCTGGGTCAGAAGCACCTGGGAGAAGTCTGCTCAGGGCTCCCCACTCCTCACACTTCTGCTGGAAATTCAGTTCAGCTGAGACTTCACCAAGGTCCCCACAGCCTTGTAGGACACCTGCCCTCTCTTCGCTCCTCCAGGAACATGTCGTCCCTGTTTGCAAGGGACGCCAGGAGTGTGGTCAGAGAACTGGGCAGGAGAGGGGAGCTGGTGCCCGCTGACAACCTGAACAGTGCCCCACACCTCAGCCCCTTCTGCCTGGTGAGGAAGAAGCACAGACGCCACCCCTGGCCTTGGGACACCCCCTTCATCCCTACAGACTTCTCCCTCATGGATGCACTGGAGCCCAGCTCCCCCATCCCAGGTACCTTCAGGTGGGGCCTGTGGGTAGCAGAGTGTTGCAAAAAAGACAGATTCACGTGGCTGAGAAAGCAGACAGCCTCTGCCCAGACACCCCGTGGACACCTATCCTCCATGTAGGGGAAGGATGAACCCATGTTTTTCTTCCTCCCGTCCCCAGTTGTGTGATAAGTAATGATAATTTTAAACAACAGTAATGGTTTAACATGGGTCAAGTGCTTGCTGTGTGTCAGAGCCCATGCTGACAGTTCCTCAGTTAATCCTCACAACCACCCTTGGGGGTAGACCCTGTCACTCTTCCCTCCCCTTTTTTAAATGGGGCAACTGAGGCTCCAAGAGTTAAGTGGCTTGCTGAGGGTCACACCCAGCCAGTAAGTGGTGGAGGCCAAATTGGACCCCAGGGCTGAGGCCTTAGCCACGCTCAAACCTGCCTTGCTCGCCACCTGGACCTCTCTTCCCGCAGAGTTGAACCGGAGCCAATCCATCCAGACCCGGGAGATGGTGGCAGGAGCCGTGACGGGGGCCATGAGTGTGAGCACCGGGCTGCCGGTGCAGGTGACAGGGAACAGTGGGGTGATCCACAGCTCCACACTGACTGTACACACACTCATGGTTTCCCCTCACACCTGGGAACTCTGATGAAGAGGTGAGAGTCTGGTGGGCCAACCAGGCCGGCTGGGCTCTCCTGGCTGAGGTCTGTGGGCACAGGTCCTCCAGGCTGGAGTACGGATCAGGGGGCAGGAGAGAAAAGCCCAAGGCTCCGGCCAGCTTGAGGACCTCCAGTGAAGCCCCTCTGAAGAGTGGGTTGGGATGGGAGAGTCCACCATTAGCAGAGAGCTCAGGGGCCCAGGGACAAGGGGGTGGGTGGTGAGAAGGGCTTATTTTAAGTCAGATATTTCAACCTAGATGGAAAAAAAACAAACAAACAAAAAACAAAACAGAAACGTGGTAGCTGCTGAGTGGGAGGCAATAGGGAGTGTTGAAGACTATGGCTAACTGCGGACACCAGCCTGCCTAGAGCTGAGCAGCAGCTGCTGGGGCTTTTGCCTGGCAGAACTGTGAGCTGGGTGGCACCATTTCTTCAGAGAAGCTAGAAATTGAGATTTTTATGTGAAACCTACCAATTTTAATATTTTCTCAAAAATTCTGAACACCTCATGGACCAAATAAACATAAGCCTTTCATCCAACTCAGCTTGTAGAAAGCCACATGGTGGCCTCTGGTCTGGACATTTTATACCTTGTAGAAGACAGATGTCACGCTCCCCTCAGTTTCTCTCCTTTTCTAGCCACCCCCAAGCAAGCAGTCCCTAAGTCCAGGCCAGTCACACCAGGGGAGGCCTGGTCCCAGGAGCCTGCCCCACCCCTACACACCCTTACAGGAAACTGAGGACCCCAAAGCCCTCGTTCCTCAGGGAGCTGCAACGCTGGAAGGAGAAGGAGAGCCTGTATGTGGTGACAGAGGCCATGGAGACCACGCATGACACCATGCTTCAGAGCCTCAGCAACGCAGAGGGAGCAGGACGGCTGGTCTTCCTTGGGCCAGGCCATTTAAAGGTGCAGGGTGTGCCCCAGGGGTGCAAATTCGGGTGTGCTGGGGATGCTGGCAGCCACCAAAGAGCTCCCACTCCACCCTAACTCCTGCTAAAGGGCTGCCCCACTAAAAATTGCCCCATCTAAACAAGAATGGGATTCCTGAGTGCTTGTGTTGTGGCTTTCAATTCTGATGACACGTTAGAGTCATCTGGAAAGCTGTTTTGGTTTTTTGTTTTGTTTTTGTTTTTTTTAAGATTTTATTTATTTATTTCACAGAGAGAGACACAGCGAGAGAGGGAACACAAGCAGGGGAGTGGGAGAGGGAGAAGCAGGCTTCCCCCCCGCCCCCCGCCCGAGCACAGAGCCCGATGTAGGGCTCTATCCCAGGACCCTGGGATCATGACCTGAGCCGAAGGCAGACGCTTAACGACTGAGCCACCCAGGCACCCCCTGTTTTGGTTTTTATTTGAAAATACCCAACACTGCCCCGCCCAATTCTGTTTTCATTGGTCTAGAATGGGCCCCACTGGCTGGTATCTTCTAACTCCCTCCAGATGATTCTATGTGCTGCCAGCGTTGGTATCACCGAGGAGGGGGTTTGCATCAGCTTTGGAACCAGGCACACCTGGGTACAAATCCCAGCCCTGCCCCTGGCTAGCTGTGTGGCCTCAGGCAAGTCACTGGACCTTCTGAGTTTGCCAGTTCTCCCCCCGGAGGAGAGCCAAGGGAGATCAGGCAGCAGTGTGGGGAAGGTGCTGAAGACACTGGTGCAGGGACACTCCGTTTCCTTCCACATCCCAGATCTGCTCCTCACCAGCTCAGTCCTTAGGTCATTTAGTGCCTGTGGGCCTCAGGTCCCCATGGTGACATAGGAAGTGTGGGACCCACACTAGTATCCTGGGGCTCTGGGACTCTTGTCTCCCACAAATTAAGTGTGACTCAGCCTCACAGGAATGCAGGTGCGTATGGATCACCTATCAATCTCTAGCTTCCATTGCTGAATACTGTTTAGAAGCTAGAACACAGTACAAAATGTTCTCTATTGATTTTTCTCATCCATCCCTCCTGATGATCCTATAAGGTGAGTACTATATGTCAGGTTTTCTGGGAGCTGAACCTGGAGCTCAAAGAGGTTGAGGGGCACCTGGGTGGCTCAGTTGGTTAAGCATCTGACTCTTGATTTTGGCTCAGGTCATGATCTCAGGATTGAGATGGAGCCCCGCATCGGGCTCTGTGCTGAGGGTGGAGCCTGCTAGACATTCTCTCTCACTCTCTCTAAAAAAAAGAAAAGAAAAGAAGGAAGGAAGAAAAGAGGTTAAGCTCCTTCCTCAGGAGCACACAGCAAGCAAGTGCTAGAGCCAAAATCCAGACTGGGCCTACCTGGTTCCAACACCCATGTGTTTAATCAAACCGGTTACACTATAATACCACCTCTGAACCCAGCAGATGGCTGGCCTTCTAATCAAGGGTTATTTGAGATGTCACTGAGATGGTAAAATATGCAGCCTCACTCCACTTGCCAGTTGTGGGAAAGACAGGGGACAATATAAGGGTAGGGAGGGAGTAGCTGAGGGGCAGGGAACCATCTTGGGGTTACATATTTGCTGATTTCTTACTCTGTGGGACTCCAGGTGTGTCATGGGACTGGGGTCAGTATAGGGTAGCCAGCCTTCCCAGCTTACTGGAGCGAGGGCTGTCCTGGGACAGGGGGCTCTCCGTGGGAATGGCCAGGACAGTGAGCCAGCCTGGTGGTGAGTGACGGACACCTGAAATGACGGTGGCTCTAAACAAGAAAAGGATTTCTCTCTTAGGTAACTAAGTCCAGGTAGGAGCCTAAGGTAGCAGCTCTGCAGTGGTGGATTGTAGCGATCAGAGACCTAGCTCTTTCTGTTTTGTCACTCTGCCACTTTCTGGTCCGAGATGGCTGCTCTAGCCCCATTACTCATGTCCACATTGCAGCCGGCAGAAGGAAGACAAGGACTTGCACACACCACCTCCATCCGTTTGCATCCCACTGGCCAGAACGTGGAGCTGGATTCAGGCCAACCAAGTGCCAGGGGAAAGGAGGTGTTGGTTTTTTGTGTTTTTTTTTAAGATTTTATTTATTTGAGAGAGAGCGAACGCGTGTGCATGCGCATGAGCGGGGGGAGGGGCAGAGGGACAAGCAGACTCCCAGCTGAGCACAAAGCCCAATGCAGGGCTTGATCCCAGGACGCTGAGATCATGACCGACCTGAGCCGAAATCAAGAGTCGGGACACTTAACTGACTGAGCCACCCAGCCGCCCCATCTTACTGTTGCTTTTAAACTGCACTTTCCCTGTGGGAGTAGGGTGATAGCAGAGGGGCCCTGCGCCTCCCAGGGCTTGCCCCCCGCTGCGCCGCGGTCTCCACCTCTGAGTGAGAGGGGATGACTCAAAGACCACTTGGAGGGGATCCAGCTGCGGTGCCTCGTGACTCCAGCTCAGCATTTCCCAAAGCCGGTACCCCAAACTCTGGACAGTGCTTAACAACACTAAACGAAAACCGTTTCTTTACTGTGGGACTTTTTAGAGCTTTTACCATGCCAATGTGTATTGCTTTGACCCCAGAACGCCTTGGGGTTTTTTTCTGGAAATATCTTGTATGCAACCTATTTTGCTGTTCTTGCTGCCTGAGTGTTCCCCATCCCCTGCTTGTGGATCTTCCTCTCCCCTCCAACCTCTAAAACCCCTACACTGATCACCAAGAGAGACCCATGCAGTCCCTCCTCCTGCGTCTCCCCGTCCCTTGCTCCTGTCTGCCCTGCTGGTCCTTGAATCCTGTGTGGACTTGAGGTCCTGTTCTGTCTCCTTCCTAGCTCCAGGGTCAGAGCCACATGGCCGAAGAGAAGGCAGTGACCATCCCTCGGGGCACTGTCCTGGCCTACAGGGTGCTGCAGCTGGGGATGAGAGAGGACTGCTGGGGTAAGTGGAGGCTGGAGGCGCAGGGGCAGCAAAGACAGGACTGCCTCTGGGAGGGCTGGCAGAGGGGCAGGGCTACCTGCACATGTGGAGCAGGGAGAGGAGACTATTTCCCAGTGGCCTGAGCACTCAGCCAGGCAGCTCCACCTTCTGGCAGCTGCTACAAGGATCTGAGGAGCAGGGAGAGCCCCCGAGGTCAGCTGTCCAGGAGGGCTTACAACCCAGTCTGCGCCCCACTTAGCCCAGGAGTAGGGGGCGGTCAGGGAGAGGTTGCATTTGATGGGAGAAAGGGCTGTGTCATCTACTTAGCACAGAGAATCATGCAGACTGGGTGGTCCTGCCCATCCTTAGCCCAGGGACAACCAGTGGGAGGTGGGGGGTTTGCTCTCCCAACAATGCTGCAGCCCAGAGATGGGCTGGGGACTGAGCGCAGGATGGGACCGCTCTGATGCTCAGATCTGGCCCACTGAATCTGCAGGGTTGGCCTTGGGTAGGGGGAGGAGGAGGTGGAGGAGGATCCAGCCACCCTTGCCCTCTGAAAAGAGCAGGAGCCTGAGTCCAGTGCACTGAGGTCTGAATGGCGGCTTTGCCATTTGCCCTGTGTGTGGCCCTGGAGGCGTCAGCAAATGTCTCAAGCTTCAGCATCCTCGTCTGTAAATGGGCTCGTGCTGCCTGCCCACAGAGTGTTGTGAAGCACAGGAGATAAAGCTGTGAGGCCCCTGGCTCTCTGGCCTGCACACCGTAGGAGCCCCATAATTGCTAACTATCTGCCTCCCTCTCAGGCACTTTCCTCTTCTGCCCCACCTGTGTTCCCACACAGCTGTTCTGTACCTGCCTGAAAGAAAGCTCGGTCGAGACTTTAGTGGAGGTAAGGAGTCCTGCCCAGGGCCTGGAAACCAACCAGAAATCATCCCTTCCCACAGAGAATGCCCTGACATTGCTCTTGGGGTCCCTTCCCTCTACCATGCCATCACCCCATGTCCAGGCGCAAGGAGGGCCATCTTCCAGCTGAAGCATGGGCTCTGAGCAGGAGGGGGAGAAGGAGGAAGGAGAGTGAGGTGCAGGCAATAGGGAAAGGCAGGGATAAGACCCATGACTGCTACCTGCTCTGTGGTGGGTACTCAGTAAATGTTTATGGAAGGAAGGAAGGAAGGGAAGGACGGATGGACGGAGGGAGGGAGGGATGGAGGAATGAAAAGTAGGCACACACAAGAGGGCTCTGCATGAGGTGGGCGCTTCACCAGGCCAGGACTGTGACACCAGGACCTCCTGGTTAGGCAGAATATCTGGGTAGGCTAGCCCTGGGCAGGGGGCCTGCGCCCAGGAGCTGGGCGGACCTATCCTCTCCCCACAGCCTTAGCCTACAGTTGGGCCCTCGGTGAGGAGCCCAACTTCCAGGGCCTGCAGAGGCAGGTGGGTGTCCAGTTACAGGACCTGGCCACACTGCCCGCAGAGCTGCGGCACCCGCTGCTAAGTGCCCTCCAAGAGCTGCTCCAAGACCCTCAGGCCCTGCAGGAACTCGAGGACACGGTAAGGGGCCCATAGGCTGGTCCGGGGGCTGGGGACTGGGATCCAGGAAAGGGGGGCAGAACAGGGAAATGAGAAGCAGGGGTAGGGATGTGCTCTGAGTCGCAGAAGCGCCCAACCTTGGATGGCAGTGTGAGGATGGCCCCGTGGTGACCAAGCGCAGGCCTGTGCCAGCTTTTGTGTCAGACACTCGCTGAGCATTTGCTCACTAAAGCCCAAATGAGGGACCTGGCTCAGCACTGCTGGCATCAGAACCCAGCCTCATTCCATCCTCACTGGCATCAGAGGGGACACAGTGCCAGGGGGTGGGGAACAGGAGCTTGGAGGATTGGGTGCAGGGCTAGGGGGCAGAGGAGGAGACCCACAGCCTGTCCTTGCTCCCCTTTGCCCCTGCCCTGCAGATGGAACAGGCCCTGGACACTGGGGTGCTGGGACAGCTGGTTGGCCCTGGGGGCTTCATCCTAAGCACCATCCGGAACCCCTCAGGCAGCCTGTTGACCTCAAAAGGCAGGGCCATCCTCTGCATTCTTGGAGCTCCTGTGGGTAAGAGGGAAACACAAGGGGCTGGGATGGAGAGGAAGAGAGTCCAGAGGGAAGTCCTCCCAAGGCCCCTGCCCAGCAGCCCTTGTGTTCCCTGACCACCCTCTCTGAGCGAGCCTTCTCCTGTCTGTTCTGTGCTCTAGACGGTCCCAGGCCATTCCCACTCACATATGATTCTCTGTCCAAGCTCTGTCCAAAGTCAGCATGGAAAAGCACAGCCCCCGTTTCCTCATTTTGCTTGTGCATTAAGTGAGGGTAATTGGCACTCACCTTGCAGGATGCTCCAGCCCTTCCTTCAGTGATGATTTACTGAGCACCCACCGTGTGTCAACAAGGCACCAGGAAAAACTGAGGCAGCCGCTCTCCTCTTTCAGTCTGTAGTGGGGACAGACATCACACCAATAATAGACAGAGAATTACCAACAGCATGAGAGTGTCTGTTGAGCAGAGGCCCTGCTCCAACCCAGAATGGAGGCAAGGCCCACAGAGGGAGGTAGGAATAGGATCCCCTCACTGGTGGCCTGCAGTGTGGACAGAAGTGCTGCGGCAGGCAGGACAGAGGCTTTGAAGCCTGGGCCAGGCTGTTCTGTTGTCACCTTAGGAAGGTGGGATCTTCATTTCCCAGAGCCTCCTTCTCTGGGTTCTGGGTAGAATCCCCCAAAAGAGGAACCACCATGAGATTTGGGGGCCAGAAGTGAAGTAGCAGCCATTCATCTCTGAAGGATCCCTGATGGACAGGTGCTGCAGTGCCCACAGATTCCCGGTGCTTCCTCCCAACTGCTCGTGCTGCTGACTAGAAAGGCCTTGGCCCTGTCACCACACACAGGGAGGCCACAGCTCCCCATCAGCCTCTACCAGCTGCACCTTGGCAGTCCCCTCCCCACTAGCCTTCACAACTCTCCACCTTGCTTCCTGCACTTCAGCCATGGCACTCCCCGGGCTGTCGTTGCTTGAACAAGTCAGCCTACTCTGCCTCAGGATCTTTGCACTGGGTATTCCCTCTGCCTGCTATACTCTTCCCCCCAAATATTCACAAGGCTGACTGTGTTTACTGTTTATCATCAGCCTCCTCCTGCCAGAAGTATAAGTGCCATGAAAGCAAGTGTTATGGTTTGTATTACTCATATGCTCGATCTACTGAACACATGTCTGTACATCATGGTGCCCAACATCCATTACGTCCCTCCCCATGCATGAAAAGGAGATTGAGGGGCAGAGATGCCCCCATGGGGCTAGAGGCATGCTATTCCCCAAGACTGGAGCTTCATGTTTGGAATCAGGCCAACCTGGGTTCTCACTGTAGTTTTGCCCCTGACAGGATGAGGAATCACCATTATCCTGGCTAATAACCACCTTACAAAGCCCCTGGGGAGCAAATGAGCTAATGTGAAAGCCCTTCGTAAAGTGAAGCCCACCATCCACTCTTCATGGGTCATGTTTTAGGGAAACTGAGGGGTTGGAAGGGGTGGCAACTTGCTCAGCACTTCCAGGGCAGGCACAGTTCCCGCCTTCTTGAACCTTCTCGGGAAGGATGGCCCAAGAGGTACGTAGTAGAGCTTGTCTCCACTTTAGGGCTCCAGTATCCCAGCCATTCCTGCGTTACTAGGGCCCACGAAGAGACACGCAAGATGCCTCAGATGCTCAGTGGCCCTCAACCCCTATCTCTTAACAGTGCTCAGGGACACCCAACATTGCCTGCTGACCCAGTCCATGGAGAGAGGGATCATGCCCCAGCAGCTGGAGCTGGTGAGAGCCTCCAGGACGGGGTGTGGAGGGAAGATATCTGGGGGAATATCCCAAGTGGTCTATTGGGGGTCTGGTCCGCAGTCCCTTGAGAGCCCTTTATCAGCACTCACTCACAGACGGGGCACTCCCTGGCTCTGACTTCTGAGTGCCCAGGCCTGTGCAACCTCTGCTGGGTGGGCCCTCTGCTGGGTGGGCCACATTCACTCACATGTGGGTTTATTGATTATACTGAATCCATACCTTGTGCCACCAGGCCCTCTGCTGGGGCTGAGAATACAAAGTGAAAGAGGTTCCACCCCTCACAGTCTGGTTAAGAGACTATGCAAACCAGTGACAACAGAGAGTGCCTGCTTTAGCTCAGACAGCTATGGGGTGGCTTTGGCGGCTATGAGGACACCAACTACAGGGTTCAGGGGCATTTCCCAGGGGGTGACCCCTCCATGCAGTTCATGAATTCATGGATGAAAAGATGGGGGAGGTGGGAGGCAGAATCCAGGCAAAACAGCACAGGCAAAGGCTGGGAGCTACTAGGGAGTGTTAGAAACCAGTGACTCCAGCCAGTGTGTGAAGAGCAGTGTTGGGGGTACACTATTTTGCCAAGCCTCAGCTGTAGTGGGAGATGCGGAAGCACTGGCCCCAGGCTCCCACCCTCAGGGTGGGTTCCACTGATGCAGGACCTGGGAGACCTGCCTGTTAATTCTGGGTGGTTCCTTGCAGGTGGCGAGTATCTTACAGCCAAACTTCAATCAGATGGAGGAAACCACCTTCTCCCTCCCACTAGAAGTCCTCTCATCCCTACAGAGTGAGGATGCAGCCCTCTCCCTGAGCCTGGTGGAGAGCTGTGGACTGGAGCTGCAGGGGACTAGCCAGCAACTCATGTGGGACCCTGACCTGGTACCACAGCTCTCTGCACTCTATGGGTCCCTCACAGGGCTGCAGATGCTGGCTGCACCCAGCCCCGTGGCCCTCTAGGCCAATGGCTGGGAAGGGTGCCACATCCTCCCCTAGGGTTCCAGTCCTCCTGCCTCCAGGGAGCTGCTGGCCCAGGCAGCCATGGGTGATTATGGGCTCCACCAGGACAGGCGCACACGCTTTCCTCCATCCCTTTCAGGACTGGTCTCCAGACATTAGTCACCCATCCAGATGCGAGGGGGCGGGGGCACACATTAGTGTAGGGTCTCACCTTGGATCAGAATTCTTCCTTGAGAGGCAGTAGAAGCTGGTTCCAGGGAACCGGGGCTCCATCCACCGCCCCACCACCGACAGCTGTGTAGCTCTATCTGTAGCAAGTTACTCCCCCCTCCTGCAACATTAACCCCCTATGAAATGGGGCTAGGAATCCCTAGCTCACAGGACCGTAGCGAAGACTTCAAAGTTGTAGATAAAGTGCTCAGAACAGTGCCCGGCTGTCAGCTATTATTGCGTGACGTGGCTATTACTGGTCGTCTGGCTACTCTGGAGGAAGCTGCAGGACCTTTCCCCAGCTGCACAGAGGACCTGACAGTCTCCCCTTAACGCCTGTCGCGCGCCGCTCAGCCTGGCCTGCTTTCCCGGCGCAGGATGAGGGAGATGGGGGGAAAGTTCCATTTGGCTGGCGCCGGCCTGCGAGCTGGAACTCCTGGGCCGGGCCCTCCGCAGAGCCTTGTCTGGTGGTGGGAACTTGCCAGCGACGCCGCACAGCGAATAACCGGAGTCCTTTCACGCTAGGAAGCATCTCCGCCAAAACTCGCACGACCCGACACGGCCGTGACGTGGAGGAGCTGTGAAGGAGTGCGCATGCGCGTGCGTCCGTGCGTGTGCGTGCCTTGCGCGTGCGTCCGTGCGTGTGCGTGCCTTGCGCGCGCAGGGCGTGGGAGAGGAAGAAGCTGAGGACTCGTGTGGGCTGCGGGTCTTGGAGCCCCTGCTCGGTTCTCTTTACTCGGCGGAGCCCTCCGTAGCCGAAACAAAACCCCAGACAGAGCCCCTGGTCTTGCCCAGGCCTCGCAGTCACAGTATGTGTTCGTTTCCACTGATAAAACTTACCTAACAATGGCCTTTGTAAAAAAAAATTAACAAAAGTCTCAGAAATGTATGAAGAACACTTGAATCTCCGTAACTCCACTACCCAGATATAAGCAGTATTGACATTTTGGTAACATTTGCCCATCAGTGTTACTCCCATGCATTCGTACAAATCATCTTGCAGGTAACTGTGTGAACTTAGGCTGTTTCTTAACCTCTCTGAACTTCTGTTTCCTCTCCTGTAAAGCAGGGGTAAAAATATCTCCATGTTAGAGAATATCATCAAAAAGACGTGACTGCCAATTGACCTGTGACCTGGACCCAGGCACTCCCAGGCTTCTCACCCCCTACCCTGTCCTTGGAATGAAGGTTACACTTGCCTTTCCTGCTCTCAGAGGCTGTCTCGAGGACATAGCCTTGAGATGGTGATGTGATGTTGAAAACACCTACATGGTGTGTAAATGAGCACAGTTAGGGCCTCTTTATAAACTTTTAAGATTTGGAGGGCAGATGCAGGAGTCCGTTCGTCTTGTTGCCGCCCAACACAAGACCCGTATGTAAGTTCCCTTCACTGATATTAAAACTAAGCCTGCCGCTTTCTTAGGTTTCTCTCCCTGCCCTCTCACTACAGGGGTCAGTTTCAGATCATACCCAGGAAGCTGAAGCTCCCAAGAGGGTTGTGAACCAGCACTCCATGTGTTTGTACCCCTTCAATAACATGCTCACATACAGTGGCCCCTCAAAACTATTTTCCTCCCTTTGTAGGACCCTGTAGAGAGCCCACCCTAACAGTTCTCACAGGAAGGCCCTTGTCTAAAATCCCCTTTCAGCAGCTAAGTCAGAGTCTCCAGGAGCTGTGAGCTTGTGGCCAGCAGAGGAGGCAGGATAGTTGAGCTGGCTTGTAGCCATGGGGGTCTGAAAGAAGAAGCATCTCTCTGCCTTTGACCATCCCTGTGCAGCTCTCCCCTTTCTTTGGACCTCCCAAAAGCACATAGGGCACAGCCTGGAGGCCAGTGTTGCCTGAGCAGCTTTTCCAGGTCTGAGGTGAGACCTCAGAAATAGGGAGAATGGGTCATAAAGCCACTGACAGGCAGAAGGGGGACCAGAACCCATACAGTGGAGTCTTTCCCCTACCCAAACCGTTTTGGTGTCCACCTTCCATGCCCCCCCCCACCTCCCAGCCTCTCGCCACCTAACGCTCCTGGAGAAATACTCCTGCACTGGGCCAACGGGGCCCCAGAATCTCAGGGCAAAAGCCCTCAACTAGTGAAAAATGCTAGTGCTTACTGAGCCAGAGATAATCTCCCTGCTCCTGCAAAATATGCGCCACTCCCCTCCTTCCCACTTCCTTCCCACCCCATCCCTCCTTGCAGGTGTTCAAGCCCCAAACTTGGATCATTCCTGACTCCCATCTGCTGGGGACACCTGTGGCTCTCCCTCTAACTATATACCGGATCTCATTCCTTCTCACCACACCCACTGCAATGATCTGCCATTATTTCTTGCCTCGATTGATTAATTGCCTCTTGCATTTCCTTAATTGGTCTCCTTGCTTCTGCCTTGCCTCATCTCAGTCTGTTCTTGGCAGTTAGAGAGTTAGAGTTAAACCTTACCAAAGATATCAGTTTATATCAGTCCTCACTCAGAGCCCTCTGATGACTCAGAGCAAAGGCCAAAGTCTTCTGGTGGCTGCTATGGCTTATGTGATGCGATCCCATTACCCCTCTGACCGCACCTCCCTCCCTGGCCCCCCCTGCCCCTCAGGCACTGTTTTGCTCTGAGGGTTCTGCACTTGCTCTCAGCTCTGCCTATCCAGGACCCCTTTCCACAGACACCCTCACTGCTAACTGCCTTCCCTCCTTCAGTCCTGGCTCACATGCTACCTTCTTTACAACACCTACCCTTGTCCACCCTACTAAATTGCTAACTGGTCCTCCGCCCAGCACTCCCAGTCTCCCTTAATTTTCCCATAGGCCTTAGTATCTTCAACTGTACTGTATAATGATTGAAATCATTCTAGTAATTAATTACATCTAGACACTGGGAATACAACAGTGCAGGGAACAGACCTGGCCCTGCTCTAATGGAACTGACCATCTGGGGTGTGACACACAGGCACTAAACAAAAGTTCCACGATCACTTTGCTAATTCCTGCCATGATGATATGCAGGAGACTGCCGACACTGCTTAGGGGAATCTAGGGCCTCCTCAGAGCTGAACATGCCCTAGGATTCCACTTTGATCAAGCACATTGATCAACAGCATGACTTTCCCAGGTGTCACTGACAAATGTGCTACTTTGGGAGATATGTCTGAGGGCAGAGGGAGAAGGATTGACAAGGGTGGCAAGAAGAGCAGGGCCCAGGCCTCCTATTGTTGTAACCTTAGACCCACCGCAGATGGGCACTGGTGGATAAATACCACCCTTGTCTGCCTCCAGAAGGACAGATCCAAGGGGCTTTCTACAAAGCTCCCCAGAAGGGCCAGGGGCACAGAGTCCCAACATGAGAACCCAGCCTTGTATTGACTTTCCCTCCTGGCCTGTTTCACTCTGCCCGGCCCCTGGTTCTGCTCCCTGGGACCTCCTCCCACAATTACCCACAGCACACAGCCCTTGCTTATGCTCTGCTTCCCATGGACAGCCCAGGCTAGAACAGCAGGTTCAGTGATAAGTGAAGCAGAGACAGAAACAGAGTAAGGGTAGTGCGGAGTGTCTGGGAGGTTGTCATTTTCAACAGCGGGGCTCAAGGTAGGCCTCCCTGGTAGGTAACATCTGCACAAAGACAGAGGACATGACCCACCCGCAATCCCAGTACGGGGATCTGCCACTGCAAAGGACTTGGGACAGCGGAGTGACCACCCTGTGCTCAAGGAACAGCAAGCTTAGCCTGGGGTGATGGACGCGAAGTGAAGGAGACACATGATACTTGCACACATGCATGAAGGCTCATCCTCACACCATTGTTTACAATAGTCTGGAAAGAACCGGAGTCCATCAAACAGAGGGATGGTTAAGTAAGTTATAGTACATCCATACAATGGAATACTACACAGCATTCAAGAAGAATGAAAACACTCTTTATATAAAAATATGGAACAATTTCCAATTCATATTAAATGAATAAAGCAAAATGTGGAATGGTGCATATAGGAAGTTGCATTTGGGTAAAGGCATGGAAGAATAAATATGAATGACATAAAATTTGAACCCAAGTCTATCACACTTACAAAAGCCATACAAATTATTTCTCCTACAACCACACATTATTGAGGAATTTCTCAAAAAAACAAAAATCTTGAATGATCCTGGTGTTTTGTGTTAACACAATATTCAGACCACACCATGGAGAATATACACTCAATATTTGCTTTTACTGTGGCTTCTTCTATCCGAATACCCACTCTGAACACCCAGAACATGCTGCCCTCCTCCATTCGGGCCCTGCCCGGAACCCATCATTACAGTCCTAAGACACAGTCTAAGTGGGCTCTGGAGAGGTACTTACTAATAAATGTTGACGGACATACAGATGTGCCTGTGAACACACTGACTGAAGCAATGTATCAGTACACTGGAGTTTGATGCTTAAAAATCATTGTGTTGCTAATTTTCATTTCAAATGGGCAGTTTACCACCTCTCCATTTAGAAAACTGGAACAACCACACAGTGTTTATTAGTTATAGGATCTTTAAAGGGTTCATTAAAATTGAGCAGCTTTGCCTAGCACCCTCACTGACTGAGGGAAGTAGAACTGGTACTGTTGGCCACTCTAGAAATGGAAAACAATACACGTTAATGGACAGGACACTTGGAATAGAATGCGTTGTTTTTAATAGTTAAATGTCACGATGGACATAATGAGATTGACAGCGAGCACTTTTGATACGTACAGGACATTACGGGCATTATCTGGCATAATCCTCAGGGCCACTGTAGAGGGGTAGGTATCTCGAGTGTTACCCATTTTG